TTTAAAATAAAAGCAAAACAAAACAAAACAAGAAACCCTTACACTTGCCAGGCAGGCACCATGCTGCTGAGTTATACCCCTGGCCCTAAAACATTATCTTTTTTTAATGCTGTTTTTACACATAATTATTTCAGGATATAAATTGGTTTTATTCTCAGGTTTTTTTAAAAATTCATTTAAATTCACACATAAACTGTTTAACTTAAGTTTTGCACAAAATTAAACTTTTCTTAACTTTTCTTAAGTCAAAAAAAGAGAATATAAACCAGGACAAAGTTAAACAAAATATTATGTACATATATATGTATACATATATATTTAGAAATAATGTGCAATAAAGTATGGAATAAAGGTAAGAAAAATAAGATAATAAATGTTGGCTGCAAATGCATATGGATTAAATTTCTGTGTTAAAAGGTGTAGGTCTTTAGTTTCAAGTTAAACATACAGATTATAAACACCCAACTTTTATATTTATTATATATATATTTATAAATATATATATTTATAAATATATATATATGCTAGACCATAAGAAAAAAATGAAAGAATGAAAACTGTTTAAAAATATGAGCACAGGTATACTAGACAAAAATAAACATAAAACTAAAGAGATATCACAATACTAATATTAGATTAAGACAATCAAAACCAGACATTAAAAAGAATAAAAACGATTAATTTATGTTGATAAAGGATACATTACACAACGTTGCTTATGTAAATGTAGACCATTATAACCTTATATCATAGCAATAACGAATATAAAGCAAAAAGAAGAAATTGGCAGAAATATAATAGTAGTCTCAATTTTTAACAGATTTCCCCTATTGTGACAGGTCAATAAAGCAAAAAGCAAACATTGATGGGATCTGAACATTATCTGCCTTGACATCTCAAGCAATTGATTTAAACTTCTTTTCTTGCTAATAAATAAATGAGGAAACACTTTGTTAAGCCTTCCAACATTCCCACACATGCATTCTACAGATACATTGCTACATTGCCTGACAAATACTTTGTTATCTCAAACAATCTGTTCATTTTTACACTTTTTGTTTATTTCCTTTTGGGTTTATTCTAATTATACTGGGCAAATGAGTGGTAACATCAAAGAAAAGCCCCTAGATTTAAAAAATGTAGTCTATATTTTAAAAATAGCAAAAAACTAACAGAGTAGTCATATAGTCTGAGTTAGTTCATTAGCTACACCTGAATGCTATAGACCTTCATTAAAGATCTCACCTTAATGAAAACAAGCAGAACAATGAATGGTAATGTGTAAGAGCATGGAAGAGCCAAGTCTGAACAACACTATGTGTGACCAAGAAAGGCACCAAACTATATCCACTAAGTGCACTGACTCCAGAGTCGAATGTCCTCCAGTCAAACTTATCCAACAAGGACTGGCTGGAATTTTTGAAAAGCTAATCTCTGTACCTTCACTTCACCATAGTAAAGTGGGAATAATAGTAATGTTTATGTTACGGAGTTACTGATCAACTTAAATGAATTAAAAATGTATAAATTTTTGCGGATGGAAAAACTGATCCTAAAATTCATAAGGAATTTTTAGAAACTAAACTAAACCAAACAATCTTGAAGAATAACATTTGCAGATCTAGTTCATGACTTCAAGATTTACAATGAAAAGATGGTAACCAGAAATGTGACATTCCCTTAAGAGTAGATATAAGTATATAACCGTGGGTGCAACTGGGAATCCAAAAGTAAATTTATATGCCAAGAAGTTCCCAAGAATATTTAATGGTGAAAGAATAACAGTATCTTCAACAAATAGTCCTGGGAAAGCTATCATATCCTCATGAAAAAAAAGAAGTTGGTTATTAATCTCACACTTTATATGAAAATTAACTCAAAAATTTAAATATGAGGTATGACTACAAAACTCTTGAAAGAGAGCATAGGAATAAATCCTTATGGCTTTGAATTTGGTAATTGATTTTTAGATCTGACACCAAAAGCATAAGCAATGAAAGAGAAAATAAATAAGACTTCATAAAATTAAAAGGTTTTATAAATCAAAGCCTACATTATCAAAAGTAAAATGACAACTCATAGAAGAGGATAAAACATTTGCATATTGTATATCTGATAAGAGACTATGAAGAACACAAAAAGAAATGTTGCAACTCAACAACAAAAAGATTAAATTTTTCTAAATGGACAAAGGTTTCACCAGACACTTCTCAAATGAGTATATACAAAACACAAATAGCCAGCAATCACACAAAGCCATACCATTAGTCATTAGAGTAATATTAATAAAAACCACAATGACACTCTATGTCATGTTAGAATAATAATACTGAGTCCCAAGTTTGACTTACAATTTTTTGAGTTTATGATAGTATGAAGTTGCACCCAAAAAAGCCATTCTAGTTTTTTACCTTTAATATAGTATTTAATAAGTTACATAGATAGTGAATATTTTAGTAACTTGTAAAATAGGCTTTGAGATGGATTATTTTGCCCAACTGTGGACTAATGTAAGTGTTCTGAGTACATGTAAGGTGGGCTAGTTTGGTAGCTAGTTTGGTAGCTTAGGGATATTAGATGCATTTGTAATTTGCAATACTTCCAATTTACAATAGATTTATTGGGACATAACCCCACTGTAAATTGAGGAACTTACACTGAGGAATATTGCGAGTCAAGGAACATCATAATTTAAAAAAGAGAAAACTACAAATATTGGCAATGATGTTGAGAAATTGGAACCCTCATATGCTACATGTGAGATGTAAAACTCTGCATCTCTTGTGGAAATTAGTAGTGGTTCTTCCATGAGCTAAATATAAAATTACTGTAACCCAAGAATTCTATTTTTAGGAATATACCTGTGCATTGAAAATGGGTGTTCAAACAAAGAACTACAGCAATATTCCTTTTTTTTTTTTTTCCGGTACTGGGAATCGAACTCACGACCTCGTGCTTGCCAGGCAAGCGCTGTGCCACTGAGCTAAATCCCCAGCCCCTTACAACAATATTCATAGTAACACAATTTATAATAATTAAAAGTCAGAAACAACCTAAATTTCCTTCAAATTATAATTGGAGAAGCAAATTTGGTATATCTGTACCACGGAATAATATTTGGCCATAAAATGAATGAATACTTCATGTTACAACATGGGTGAGCTCTTATCACATTATCCTAAGTAAAAGAAACCATATGCAAAAAGCTACCTCTGTAAAATTCTATTTATATGAATTGTGCAAAATGGGTAAATTCAAAGAAATATGAAGTAAATGAGTGATTGCTGAGGACTGATGGGCAGTTACTGATAATGGCTATAGGATTTCCTTGAGAGTAATGAAGAGATTCTTTAAAAAAGGAGTGATAACTAATACACAATATTGTGAATGCATTAAAGGTTCCTGAAGCCGGGCATGGTGGTGCACACCTGTAATCCCAGCACTCAGGAGGCTGAGGCAGGAGGCTTGCCATGAGTTTGAGGTGAGCCTGGGCTACATAGCAAGACCTTGTCTCAACCCCCCCCCCAAAAAAAACAAAACAAAAATAATTAGAAAAATAGAAATCTACTGAATTATACACTTAAAAAGGATCAAAACAGATAAACATTATAATCACATGCATATCAGTTCCAAAAAAATTAAATGCATGTAGGGAACGTAAAGCAAGGTCAGACACAGAGTAAGTGCTTTATCACTGTTGGCTATTATTATGTAAAACCGAAGTATATTAGAAACTAACTAACTGTATAAAAATCTAGAGATGAGCTGCTATGGTCTCGATCCCCCTCCATTCATATGTTGAAGCTCACTCAATAATGTGATGGTATTAAGAGGCAGAGCTTCCAAGACATGATTAAATCATAGTGGCACAGCCCCCATGGATGTGATTAGGGCCCTTACAAAAGAGCTTGTGGGATGAGGTTAGTTTCCTTCCATTCTTCCCACCATCTCAGGTTGGGGTTTTCTCCCTAGGTTACTTTTTTCTCCCCACTGGAAGATGCAGCCAAAAAGTCCCCTCTAGAAAGCAGAGAGCAGCTCCCATATACCTACCACTGGGGAGCTAAACTTTTCTTCGCTGTATCAAGTGGGTTTATTTTTCTTGTTCTATCTATTAATTGCTTAAATAGGATGTCAACTTTTAGGGTTGCACATACCATAGAGAGAAACTCAGATCTGCTTTGGAGTCTCAAAGCACATTGCTGAATTTGAGTTTTATCTAAAACATCAAGGGACCCAGGCTGTGAAGGAAATGAGGGGTCAGGGCTGCCTAGGCCTTTGTGTGCACCTTGGCCCCTCGCACAGGGCTGAGCATGGTGCATGGGGACTGAGGGAAGGATGCACAGCGTTCTGGGATTTGCTGGCTGACAGTGTGCTGGGAGTCATTAACTTCTCTGAGTCGGACATGGGCCTGAACATAGCCTGATTCCTGCAGTGTGGTAGATATCTTTGGGCAATAAGGTGTCCTAAGGTTCTGTCTGTGGCCCCAGTTTTGATATTCTCAGTTCCTGGAAGTAACTAAGGTAGTCAGGGCCTCAGGAATGAGTTCTAGTATCTCAACAGAAACAAGTCCTACACAAAACTGCAAATGGGGAAACTGTTAACAGTGCATTATCTCGTCTGTTCACTCTTGTATTCTGTTCTTTTCTCTACCAGCTCCCCAAAGCAGTTCCAACGCACAACCTAGCCAGACTGAGGAGCTACAGTTACAGTGAAATGGAGCAGCCTCAATGCAGGGACTGTGTCCTTTCACTTTGCCTTTCAAATCATTTTAAACTTTTCGTCATTATATTATTAGATTACCTTTGTACAAAAATCTAGAAAGTATTCAAAAGCAGAGTAACAATCCCCTCATCCAGAATAACCTCAAGTGTCTTTTCCCCCATATTTTAGTTATACGTTCGTTCACTTACCACAGAAAGCTGCACGGATGAGAACTTACTAAAGTTGTGGATATTACAGCCATGGCTAGAAATTTATTATGTAAGGCTTACAGTTCTTACCTGCTTCTGTTGTTAATTCAGGAAATGTAAAACTTGTAGGTGAAGTTGCAAGGATGGAAGCTGATGTAAAAATATAAGCTGTAGAGATAATGTGGAGAAGTTACATTAACATGTGCTTCCCACAATCTGCACAATGGGTGAAAATATTTGGCGACTAATCATCCGACAGGAGACTAGTACTCGGAATATGCAAGGAACTCATCAACTTAAAACAATAAGCAATCCAATTAAAAATAAGCAAATAGTCTGAATAGGCACTCTTCAAATAAAAGAAAAAAGTACAGCCAGCTGTAGTGGCACATGTCTTAAAGCAGTGCGAGGAGGCTGAGGTAAGAGGATCACACGTTTGAGCCCTAGCCTGGGCAATTATTGGCTTAGCAAGAAATTCTCTCAAAATTAAAATAATAACAGTAACAACATTAATGGCAATAATAGCAATAATTAAAGGACTGGGGGTGTAGCTCAATGTGAAGGCTCTGGATTTAGTCCCTAATACCACACACACACACACACACACACACACACACCAAATGGTCAACAAATACTTGAAAACATGCACAATACGATGAGCCACTGGAGAAATGTAAACGAAAACTGTAGTAAGATTCCATTTCACTTCAGTTAGAATGACTACTACTTTTATAAAAAAAGAAACAAATGCTGTTAAGGAAGTGGAGAAAAAGTAACTTATATTCTTTTGGTGGGAATATAAATTAGTATAGCCTCTGTGAAGAGCAATCCGAGGTTCCTAAAAGAACTAAAAATAGACCTATATGATCCAGCTGTCCCACTCTGGGTATTCTACAAATCCAAAGAAAGTGAAATCAGTACAACAACAAAATCCCATGCTTATTACAGCAAAGCACAATAGCTAACACACAGAGTCGGTCTATGTACCCATCAGCAGACGAAAGTGAGGTTCACGTACACTATGAAATATTATTCACCCAGGCTTGTTACCATGGCTTAATCCTTCCTAATAGATAATACCTGTTTTAAGAATACTTAGTGATCTTTATTAATTACGCTTTTCATAACTAATATATAGCAGTAGAGTAGCTGTGTCCGACACTAGAATGCATGCAATGCGCTAAGTACTTTGCTTTGTCCTTCTGCTATTACTGTGAGGCAGGCACCAATATGGATAATTAGTCTATGTTCTGATATCCATCAGGCTTTCAGATGCTGGACTATATTTGAACCCAGTTCTTCCTGCTCTTCATTCCCGCGCTCTTAACCACTACTCTATTTTGTCCCCTAAGGAACCTTAGAAAATGCTGGGTGCCATCTCTGTGTCTACAAAATGCTCAGAAGATCATACTACTCACCCTAATGGGGTCACAGGCAGGTCAATGAGCAAAATACATTTCAGGGAACGACCTGCTCTTCATCTCTATGCTGGGACAAGTCTTTCTAACACAGAGACACTGCACTGGAGAGGACATCATTTATAACTTCCTCCAAAAGAGGTCAATTCTAAGGTTAATTTGATACAGTCATACTTCTGTGATCTCTCTTTAATTTTAATGAGTTAATTTATATTTTTTTCCATACCACATGACATGTAAATCAAAAAGTGTCGTTATTCCCTGCATGGAACTTCAGTAACAGATACACAGAGAGGGGAAATGACTTCCCCATGATTTCGTGCTGTGGCTTATCCCTCTTTCTAAGAGAAGTAGGAAATTATATTTTTTGAGAACTGAGGACCATAAACCTACAGTCACCCTCATTAATAACCAAGTCAGCTGTGATGAGCACGCACGTGTGCTCCCAGCACTTCAGGAGACTGAAGCAAGTGGGTTGCAAGTTTCAGTTCTCCCTGGTCAATTTAGTGAGTCCCTGTCTCAAACTCTAATTAAGTAAAGATGGGTGGGAAACTTCGCTCAATGGCAGAGTCCATTTTGGTTTGATACTCAGTACCACACATACACACACACACAAACACACACACTCACACAGCGCTTTCATTTAGAAATGAATCTTCTTGCAAATCAAGCCAAGCAACAAATTTATTCACACAAATATATTTGTCATATTTGATGAAATTCTCTTAATTCCAGGGAGACTTAGAATCCAGGCAAACTTCTCATTCCGGAAAATGATGATTCTCCCACAAATACCTGTCTCCCTTGTGCAATATCCTCATTACTGTCCAAGTCCCAATAAAATCCATCTTGCAGATTAAAACCTAAGAGACTCTTCAATTATTTATTCATTTAAATAAAGCAGAAAATAGGAGTAGTTGGTATTTTAATCCATGTTCCAATATCCATCAAGCTAAGAGAAGTACCCAACTAAAATGTAATAGCATTAAGCTAGAAAGTTCGCTCACCTGACAATAGTGCTGAAATTGTTATTTTCTCATACATCCTGGAAGCTTGAGCTGGCTCACAGAAGCAGTGCGAGAAAACTACTGAGGAGAACAGAGAGCGTTAGTCCCTGGCCCAACCTGCATGCTGTTATCTTTCTAGCCCACATTCCAGGGGCCACTATCATGTGACGGGCGTCAGGCAGCATTTCGTATAATGCAAAGTTGGTAAACGTTTGTTAAAAAAGATACATGACTATCTGCTTAACCAGGAATACGAAAGGGGTAACTTCAAGTGGCTGCTTCATGTTCAATTTTCTTTGCCAAATTCAAGGAGATGACTGCTTCAAGTTAATTTACTTTACATTAGTTTAATGGGCAAGGCAAGGAAGTAGCCAAAAGTTGCCACACTAGGCTTAGAATCAGACCGTCAAGGCCTAAGTTCAGGGCACTCAGGCTACTGGAGAGCAATGACCCTTCTCGTTGCTGAGAAGACTTCATATAACGGGAAGGGCCTTGGGGAGTAAGCTGAAAATGACTTTTTATTGTCCGGGTCTGAATATACTTCAGCTCACTGCAGAGCTCGGATCAGCCTTGCTCTCACAGTGATCCCTCCGATCTCAGCCTCCAGAGTGCTGGGGTCACAGGAGTGCAAGTGACTTCTGATATGTGCCCTCAGTGTACCGGAGAATTTTAATTAGCATGTGAGTGCTCTGAGGCTCGAAAGCTCAAACTAAGGAAAGTTAAATAGCAAGAAAAGAGACAGACTTTTGTCTGTCTAGACAACTTTTGCTGAAAAATTAATTTGAACAGAGCAGCTAGGGCCTGTGCTCTGTGAAGCCAGTGAGTTCTCTCCAAAATACTACTCCCACTATGTTATTCTGAGTTATTAACCAAGACAATAAATGCAGACACTCAAAACCAAGCACAAAAACTCCCAACCATACTGGAAAGCAGGTTAATGGCAGAAGTACAGAAATAGGAAAATCACTGTTAAAGGGAGACAGTCTGAACTCTGGGCAGCAACCTCTATGAGCATAGGACACAGAAAGCAAAGGATGTCTTGCTCAAGGTCACTGGAAGGTTAATAAGGCTCCTATTTTCCTTCATGTGGACAGCTTGACACTTCCTGGCTTGATTAAAAAGCGGCAAAATGGGGCTGGGGATTTAGCTCAGCAGCACAGCGCCTGCCCAGCAAGCGCAAGGTAGTGAGTTTAATCCCCGGTACCGGAAAATGAAACACAAAAAACAAAGAATAAAATATAAAAAGCGGCAAAAGTCAGACCTCTCACGTCACATACACAATGTAGAAGAAGAGTTGTACGCTGCCCTCTAGTGGCATATCTGTGTAATAGAAGGAAAAATATGTGCCTTGAAAAAATAACAGTAAAAGGAAACACACACACACACACACACACACACACACACACACACACACAATTTCTCCTAGACATTTCCCCAGTCTTTCTATTCTTGTGCAAACTCATGTTCAGGATTATTATAAAGTCTCACTGTGCGATAAGTAAGTGCATTAGACAGATCCATCTATCTTTTGAGGCACAGCTTGTCATGACAATACCTTGTCATTTTAGGATACCCACTGCGTTTCTCCAGGATGAGTAAACCGCTTTCCTTGACCATCTTTGCTAGATTATCATTTCAACAGTTGGAAAACCAGGAAACATAAGATTAGAAGAATTTTCCACTCAACATAGCCCTGTAAACGACCCAGTACATGTGAGGAAACTAAGGCATGGTTAAGAGACTGTAAACGCATAATGCATTCTTTGATTGGATTTCACACAAGGTGTTTTGTAGGCATATTACTTTAGTCTTGTATTTTAAAAAGAAGTAACTATAATTAAAAGTCAGAAGGAAATTGTGACCATTAAATATTTGAAAAACTTGATAGTGAAGTTATTTATGCTTGGAGTTTTATTCATAAGGAAAGTTTTCATTGCCTTAATTTATGAACACAATGACAATTGTGCATGTGTGTGTGTGTGTGTGTGTGTGTGTGTGTGTGTAATAGAATCTTGCTATCTACTCCAGGTTAGCCTTGAATTTGGATTCTTTTTCCTCTGTTTCCTGAGTTCTAGGATTACAGGCATGTTCCACCACACCAGGGTGGATCCAATTTTCTTTACTAGACCAAGTAATTTGAAGTTATTTCTTCTTGTGTTCATTTTGATGCATGTTCAATTTTATCTAGGTTACCCAATTTATAGGTATCAAGTCATTCATAAAGCTCTCGTTGCATTTTTAGTGTCTATTAAATTTCTAGGCCTATCTTATTTTTTTTTCCAATTTGGTAACTGATATTTTCTGCCATGCTTACTTAATACTTCTTAGTATTTTTGAAGAATGAACTCTGGATATTATTTCTTTTCTGTATAGTGCAACTGTTATCTATTTGATTTGTCTTTTTTAAACCTTTTTTCATTCTACATTATTTAAAGGTAAATCATTTCTAATTTTACTTTTGTAAAGATGTCCTTTACTTCTGACTTCTTAAGATGAAAACTTCAACTACAAATGTCTTTCTTCTCTACTAACATGAAATTAAGTCTAAATTCTCACTAATTAATATTTTAGCTACATACCACACATTTTATTGTTCTATAGTTTCATTATAATTTAATTTTAAGCATTTTATTATTTTTCTATTGTTTGACTCATGGATTATTTAGAAGTGCATCATTTTTTGCAGACATTTGGAGATTTTCATTACTTTTTTGCTACTGATTTCTAGTTGAGTTCCCCAACTGCCAGCAAGTGTCCTCTGTATTGTTTTAATCTATTATATTTGTAGGAGGTATGCTTTGTACTCTAGCATGTGGTTTATTTGGTGAATATTCTACACATAGTTGAAAAAGATATGTGTTTGCAATTTCTTGGCTATAATATTTTATATAGATCAGTTAGGTCAATGTAATTACTCACATTTTATTGATATTTTATCTTCTTTATGAGTCACTTAAAAAAGGTGTACAAAATATCCTGTTGGGAATTCATGTCTTAATTCTCCTTATTTTTTCTTTAATACATTTCATATTACTAGGTACATGTGCATTTAGGATCTTTATGGTTTAGTATTAAATTGTCTTTTTCATGTTTTATGAAGTGTTGCTCTTTGCCACTAACAGTGCTTCTTATATTAGATTCACTTCCATGTGATATTAATTGAGCCAAACTAACTTACTTTTTTTTTTTGGTGGTACCGGGAATCAAATTCACAACCTCACACTTGCCAGCCAGGCACTTTGCCACTGAGCTTAAATCCCTGGCATAAACTTACTTTTATTTAATACTATTTGTATGCTATATCTTTTTTCATTCTTTTCCATTAAAGCAATGTCCTTAAAATTCAAAGGTGTCTCTTATAAACAATATAAAGTTGGCCTTTTGCTTTAGCCCATCAAATTTTGTCCTTTAATTCTAGTATTTAGTCTATTTAATGGTAGTATTTCAATTGTACTACAATTTTAATTGTAATATTTGTCTATTTAAATTTAATCAATGCATTTTATTTTTGTATTAAAATCTATCATCCTGGCTGTTTGTTTTGCACTCATTCCTCTGGTTTTTTTTTTATTTCTTTCTTTAGTATAAATCAAATATTTTGTTTTCAGGTTTCAATCTTGTATGTGTTAGGCTTTCTTTATCTTTTTTTAATCTCTTGGGTTCCTCCTCTAAAAGAAACCATGCAGTGTTAAAGCTTGTGTGTATGACTTATTTCACTTAACATTATGGTCTCAAGTTGTATCCATTTTCCTACAGATGGCTGAAGTTTATAGTTCTATATGGCAGAGTAGTAATCTATTGTGTATAAATACCATATTTTCTTTACCCATTCATCTATTGGTAGACATATTGTTCATATCCAATATTAAGCTATTATGAATTGTGCTGCTATCAATATAGATGAACACATATAACTGTAATATGCCTTTAACTTTTTCTGGAAGACATTTGGGTCAAATGGAATTTCTATCTTTTATTTTTTGAGGAACATCCATACTGTTTTCCATAATGATTTTAGTAGTTTACATTCCCACCAATGAAGTAAAAATATTCCTTTTTCCCCATAGCCTCATCAGGATTTGTTATTACTTGATATTTTTTATTACAGTCATTTTTTTCAGCAGTAAGATGAAATCTCAGTATTGCTCTAATTTGTATTTCCCTAACAGTCAATGATGTTAAACATTTTTTCATGTATTTATGGACCATTTGAACTTCTGAGAAGTGTCAATTCATTTCAGGTGCCTGTTTTTCGATTATGTCTTTTGTTTGGGGGAGGGGTATACTTGATTTTTAAGCTCTTTATTTTCTTTGAATTTTAAATTTTTATTTTAAAAAGAAAAAACAAAAACAAAATAACAACAGCAAAGTAAAAACAAAACAACACAAAAACAATAAAAAACAATACAGAATTTCAAAATAAGATGATAGGAAATTAACAAAGTTTGTTTTATTACCTATTGTTATCTTAAACAAATTTTCTCAGATTACTTGATGTAAGAATGCAAGATTGATCCAACAATTAAACATTGACTGTTCCTTTCAATAAACCACTAGAAATTAATAGGACAATTATCTTAGCTATCATATATATATGTATATATATATATTTCCCTTCTTTTCTTCCTTTCCCCCATCTCAATTGTTTTTTCCTTTGAAAAAAAGACAAATATAACAATAAAACCAACTTTCAAAACAAGTTATTGGGACAGTTACAATAGTTGATATATTATGTATTACCATCTTCCTAGTAGTTATTCATATTAGAAGATTTATGTATGCTTCCTTGTCTATATAATATTAGCACAAGTCTGTCTTCTTAATGAACTAAGAAAAACAAGCTGTATAACAATCTTATCTTGTATATATATATCTCTTTTCTTTTTTTCCTTTCTTCATTTCCCCTTTACCCATCACAGTTTATCTTTTCTTTTGAACAGTTTCTTCCCAAATTGCAATATCTATTGTACAGTTTGCATCTTATTTACTTCTTCATTTTTTCACACTAGTGAGACAATATGATATTTATACATATAGGTCTGATTTATTTCACTTATGAGTATGGTCTTGAGTTTCATCCATTTACCTATAAAGGACATTTTATCTTCTTTTATGGTTGAGTAGTACATATATATATATATAAAATAACCCGCATCTTTTTTATC